ATGCAAAGAAACGGCATAGTTTAGCGTGCTCCATGGCAAATACAAAAAGAGTTATTTTACAAATGTGGTGACTACAACTGGGTGATGATGTTCGGTTTGTGGGGAGAAATTAGATATGCACCACTTCTGATTATAAAATAGTACGAGGGTCATCAATTTGTTTCTGTTACTACTGGGTTACATTCTTTGAAGTTTGCATTTCATAGAAAAAATTACAAAAAGAAACATCATGGATGCCGTTAAAGCTTAGAAAACAACTTTTTGTATTCAATCCAAAGAAGCAAAAGTAATGTTATCCCCTGATTATGAGGAATGAAGGTATGTCAGGAAAAATAAAAATATTCCTCTACCAGACCAAAATGAGGATATCTCTATGGAAGATCGCATTCGGGTAGTCCCATCAGAGATAGAAATCCTAAGAGCTGAGTTTGAAGCAGAAAGGGAGGGTTGGTCGAAAGAGTTAGAACAAATGCGACGAGATAAAGCTATTTTGGGCGTCGACATTGACTTTCATTCAACACAATGTGCAATGTTGAGGGAAAAAAAAAAGAAAAAGTGGATGGTGAGTTCAAAATGTTGAGGAAGAATTACCATGAGTTGCAAAAATCTCGGAGAGCATCAGGATCGAGTAGAGCAACAGCACAGATGACCAAAGAGTTGAACATTAAAAAATGTCGAGTCGACGATTTGAAAGGAAAAAATAGTCGTTTACTCAAAAGCCTTGAGAAAGGAAAGCAGAAAATAGAAGATCTTGAGGTTGACAAAAGGGAGCAAATTATAAAGCACAAAGCTGAAAGTCACGAGATTATGAATGAAATGAAAAAAAGAAAGGGATCGAGCCAAAGAATTAGAAGATATAAAGAATGGCATGCTTGAAGGGTTTGAGGTAGAGAAAAACACCATGTTCAAGGGATTTAAAGTTGAAATGAACAATATGATTGCTGAACTTGAAGATAGGGGCCAAAGGATTGAAGAGTTCGATGTTGAAAAGGAAAAATGGGATTTGGAGAGAAAAAACTTCAATACCAGACTCGAAGTAGAGCAGGAGGTGGCCAACAATTGGATGAAACGATGTAGAAACAAGAATATGCAAATCCAAAAGCTTAATCAAAGGACACAAGAAACATGAACAAAACTTGAAGAGGATTTCGATCAATGTAGAAACAAAAACAGAGTTTAATGCTTACATCTTGCAACTTGAAGAATTATTATTCCAAAAGAAGGTTCGTTTAGGACCTAGTGATCTTAAAGAGAGTTATGAGGAGAACGCTTCACTACGAAGACGAATCCGAGATCTTGAAAATACTCTGCACAGTTGTCAAGTCAGAATCTCTGAGTTAAAGCAAACACTCGATGGAACTAATGAACAATGGAAAAAATCGACTGATTTCTATGAAGAAAGAAGTGAAGATAGAAGCAGTATGGTATTCGAGGCCATGGTACAAATGAGCAAAGTTGCCAGATATATTGGGGAGTTAGCTGCTGAAGCAAAGATTATTGAGCATCACGTTGATCCAGTTTCTAAGTTTGTAAAGAAGATGTCATGGCTGATGAAGGAAATCATAGAGCTTAATAGGAAAGTTATGACGTATCTGTAGTTATGAACTATTATATAGAAACTTTTATATGCCGATGGAAGTTGTTCTATGACAGTTAACTTTTTAGGATCAATACCTTTTGCATACATTCATTGCATTATTTTATTTATGCATAATTTGTTACATTAAGAGAAACATTCATTAAGTAAAATTTGAAAAAATAATATGAAAAGGATTTTCAATCGCAGTTATCCTGGCCAAATGAGAAATTCAACATCACTTCAGTACTAGAAAAGTGACTAAGAACATAGAGGATAAAATACAACGTCTCGAGGAACAACATAATAAAAAACAAGCAAAAATGAGAATGAATTTAGAGAAGATTGAAGCCAACATTGAAAACTCATAAGAAAGTATGATGCAGAAAATAGAAGATATGCTCAAAAAGCAAGCTAGTATTGGAAAAATTCATGAAAATCCTGTATCTTTTGACTAGGAACCTATATATCCTTTAGGATTCACACCAGAACCAGTTTATCATCCTGGTATCACACCTGTACAAATCCATGCTCGCACATCGACACTTCAAGAGACCAAACCTAATGAAAATCAACAAGTGGATCCCACGTCTTCAAGCAAAAATCCACTTATGTCAGAGGTGAAGATAGGAGAATTTAATGCTGAACATCTAATTCCAGATCTGAATGAGTTGAATGACAAAGAAAAAGCCAATGAAGAATTGACTAGACATATCAAGAGCTTGGAGGAAAGAATAAAATCCGTAAAAGTAACTGAATCATTCTATGGGTTTAACGCCAGCGAGTTGAGTTTGGTCCTAGACCTAATCCTCCCCATTAAGTTCAAAGTTCCTAAATTTGAAAGATATGACGGTACTACATGCCCTTCGTCTCATATTACCATGTTTTGTCGCAAAATGGCAGGTCATGTGAAAGATGAGAAATTGTTAATTCATTGCTTTCAAGATAGTTTGACAGGACCAGCCTTAAAGTGGTATACTCAATTGACCAAAGCCCACATTAGATCCTGGAAAGATATGGCAAAAGCATTTCTAGAGCAGTACCGCCACGTTACAGATATGGTTCCTGATAGATGGACTCTCCAAAATTTGGAGAAAAAGAACAATGAAACATTAAGACAGTACGCCTAGAGATGACGTGATATAGCGGCACAAGTTCAGCCACCACTAGCAGAAAAAGAAGCCGCAGTGATGTTCGTCCACACTTTAAAGGCCCCATATTTAGGCCATTTAATGGGGAATGCAACTAGAAATTTTGCAGATTTGGTCATTTCGAGAGAACTCATTGAAAATGTCATGAAAAGTGGCAAAATGGAATCAAGTGAGGGGTCTAGTTCCAAAAGACCTATGTATAGAAAAAAGGAGAATGAAGTTAACAATGTGAACACTTACAACAAGGATACCTCGAAAAGTGTTACGATAACCCAGCCAAGGGTTAAGAAAGAGGAAACAAACACTAATCGAACGGAATCCAGAGGATCTCGCAGGGAAAATGAGAGGCCTTCTTTTGCACCATTACCAGTACCCTATGTTGAGATCTATGATTCACTATTGAAGGCAGATGTAATAAGGCTTTATCCATTGATTCCTATACAACCACCATTCCCTCCATGGTATGATATAAAAGCCCACTGTGTTTATCATGACGGAATTACGGGTCATTCTATTGAAAATTGTTTGGCATTCAAAAGGGTGGTCCAAAATTTGATTAATACTGGAAAATTGGAATTTAATTCACCAGCTACATCATATCATCCGCTGCCAAATCATGGAGATAAAAATGTGAACGCAATCCAGGAAGAGAATAGAATGAAAACAAAAACCGATGTTTCTGAAATTAAATCTCCCTTTGGTTGGATATTTCAACAATTATCCTTATCCGATATGATTCAACAAGAATTCAAGCCAAAGCATAATGAATGCGAGAATTATTGTGAATATCATCAAGAAAAGGGACATGGAATTCAACTATGCCCTGAATTTAGGGGATTAGTGTAAAAATTGATGAATGGTAAAGAAATAGAGTTCTTTGAAGAATAACCAAGAAGAAAAGAAGATGACATTTGTGCATCAGAAGATTCTAAACCTATGCAGAGAACAAGTGATCCCGTTATTATCACTGTGAAATCATCTACAGTGAATCCTACACCAACAAAGCCGAAAGTGGTTATCACAACTCCTTTAGCATTTCCATATAAGGATACCCGCAAGGTACCTTGGAATTATACTACCAATGTTTCAATGGTAGGAGGATTTGTTTCTCTGGAAAAAGTAGAAGAGAAAGAACGGGGTCTGGATTCGACATCTGAATCAGTAAGTGAAGTCGGATTCTTTACAAGAAGTGGGAGGTGTTATTCTCCCGATACATCGAATGCATCAAAATAGGCAAAAGCAAAGGGAAAAGCTATAGTGATACCCCAAAAGGTATTTGATGATGAATTCCCACCAACATTTAATGAGCCCGTAACAGAAAAACAAGCACAAGAATTTTTAAAATTTATGAAACATAGCGAATATAGTGTGGTTGAGCAACTACATAACAGCAAGCACAAATTTCAATTCTTGATTTGTTGATGAATTCAGAAGTACACAGAAATGCCTTGATAAAAGTGCTTAATCAAATATTTATCCCTGAAGATATATCTCTCAACAAGCTTGACAAGATTATGGGGCACATAGATGCTGATAATTATATAACGTTCACTGATGATGAAATACTTGAAGGTGGAATGGGATCAGTGAAAGCTTTGAATATTACCACACATTTTCATGGCCATGTGTTGCCAAGAGTACTGATTGATAATGGATCTTCTCTTAACTTGATGCCACTAGTTACACTTCAAAGGATGCCGGTGGATAAATCGCACATGAAGAATTATCAAAACATAGTACGAGCATTTGATGGCACTCAAAAAGAGGTATTGGGGAAAATGGAAATACTATTGTTGATCGGACCAGTCATATACAATATTGACTTTGTGGTAATGGATATCCACCCTACATATAATTATTTATTGGGGAGACCATGGATTCATTCTGCAGGAGTTGTTCCTTCTTCATTGCATCATAAACTGAAGTTCGTTGTTGATGGTCAACTAATATGTGTAGGAGATGAGGAAGAAATCATTGCTTCTGTAACAAGTGATGCTCAGTATATTGAAACCAATGATGATGCTCTCGAGTGCTCTTTCCGAGCTTTGGAATTTGTCAATGCAACCTTTATTGCTGAGGGAAGCAAAATTCCACATCCCAGATTGTCTGATTGCACTAAAATGGTCGTACGACAGACTTTAGGCATAGGAGCTAAGATTGGGAAAGGTTTGGGAAAGAATCTTCAGGGAAGTTCGGTTCCTGTAAGTATGAAGATGAAGAAAGATTGTTTTGGGCTTGGATTTAAGCCTAACTCTCAACAAAGGAACAAAGAGATGAAAAGAAGAGGTGAAGATAGAAGGGCTAGACTGAAAGGAGAAGAAATTCCATGGGAACGCATGTCTTTCCCTCATTTGAAGTCCATGTTCAAAGCCGGAGGAATGGTTAATGTAGAACAACAACTTGTTGATGCTATTAAAGAAGAAAAGTTGATGAAAGATCAAGGCATGGTTGAGGAAGCTATGGAAGGATTAGTTATCAATATGATTACAAATGACCACCAGACTGGCAAATACTTGGCTGGGATTCGCCCTTGTTTTCCTGGTGAAACACTCAACAATTGGACTGTTGAGGATCTCTCTGTAGTTTTTAATATTAACTTAGAGTAATACTCGGAACCAACCTTTATGTTTTAGCCCAAGAATATGAAAAGTTTTTGTCTTGTAAGGCCAGTTATGTTAAGTTCACTTAATATCAAATACAAAAAGTTTTCTTAAAATTCTCAAATGGCAATCATTCTTTATACCTTATATTTTTACATTCATTATTTCTCATTATTTATATTTATTTCATAAATTTACTATATCCTTTCGGAAATATGTCTGATTTAAATTTGTAGGTGTCACAATGTTAATAGCATGCTTATTCTTAAATTTAATCATGAGATAAATTTAGAGCGGTCTGTATGTTTGGAAGAAATCAATAAGTGTGAGGATGAAGTAGAATGTGATGTTCCTACCGAATTGTTAAGATTGGTAGAAAAAGAAGATAAACAAATTTTACCTCACAAAGAAGAGATTGAGACTGTAAATCTGGGAACCAATGAAGAAATGAAGGAGGTGAAATTTGGTACTACTTTGTCGGCCCATATAAAACGAGAATTGATAAATCTCCTCCAAGAGTTCAAAGATATCTTCGCCTGGTCTTATCAAGATATGCCTATTTTAAGTACAATATAGTGATCTATAAACTTCCAATCAGTCCATAATATAAACATGTTCAACAAAATCTCAGACGGATGAGGCCAGAAATGTTGTTGCAGATTAAAGAGGAAGTGATGAAGCAAATAAATGCAGGTTTTCTACAGGCATCCAAATATCCAGAATGGGTAGCCAACATAGTTCTAGTACCGAAAAAGAATAGGAAAGTTCGAATGTGTGTGGATTACAGAGATCTTAACAAAGCTAGTCCGAAAGATAGCTTTTCATTACCTCATATAGACACATTGGTGGACAATACTGCAGGACATACATGGTTTTTCTTCATGGATGGCTTTTCAGGGTATAATCAGATAAAAATGAACCTTGAGGACATGGAAAAAAACAACATTTGTAACCATGTGGGGCACATTCTATTACAAAGTAATGTCATTTGGATTGAAAAATGTAGGGGCAACTTATCAGAGAGCAATGGTAACTCTATTCCACGACATGATGCATAAAGAGATTGAAGTATATGTAGATGACATGATTGCCAAATCCTGAACCGAAGAAGAACATATTCAAAATTTAAGAAAATTTTTCCATAGATTGAGAAAATATCAATTAAAGCTCAACCCTGCTAAATGCACTTTTGGTGTAATATCAGGGAAGCTTTTGGGATTTATAGTCAGCAAAAAAGGAATTGATATTGATCCAGATAAAGTAAAAGCAATTCAAGATCTTCCACCACCTAACACAAAAAAAGAAGTTCGAGGCTTTTTGGGGAGACTAAATTATATATCTCGATTCATTTCTCAATTAACTGACAAATGTGATCTAGTGTTCAAGTTACTTCAAAAGAACAATCCTGAAGTCTGGAATGATGAATGTCAAGAAACTTTGGATATTATTAAGAAATATTTATCCAATGCCCCCATTTTAGTATCACCAGTGCATGATAGACCGTTAATTCTATACTTAACAGTATTTGAAAATTCGATGGAATGCATACTGGGACATCATGATGAATCTGGAAGAAAAGAAAAAGCTATTTATTATCTGAGTAAGAAATTTACTGATTGTGAAATTCGATACCCACCAATACAAAAATTATATTGTGCCTTGGTGTGGGTTACTCGAAGACTCAGACAATACATGTTATATCATACTACTTGGCTAATATCTAGACTTGATCCTTTAAAGTTCTTAATGGAATCACCAGCTTTGACAAGCAAAATGGCTAGATGGAAGATGTTATTATCCGAGTTTGATATCGTATATGTCAACCAAAAAGAAATAAAAGGAAGTGTCATAGCTGATTTTCTGGCCAGTCATGTATCAGATAATTATCAGTCTCTGAGTTTTAATTTTCCAGATGAAGATTTGTTGTGCATATTCATGAATGAAAAATTCAAAGCAAATGATGAATCCTGGAAGCTTTATTTTGATGGAGCATCCAACGCCTTGGGACGAGGAATTGGGGCAGTGTTAATTTCTCCAAAAAATATTTATTATCCTTTTACAAGCAAATTGGAGTTCTTTTGCTCCAATAACATGGCGGAATATGAAGCTTGTGTCATGGGATTAAAGGTAGCCATAGAAAGGAAAATTAAATTTCTCAAATGGAGATTCATCGTTAGTGGTGAATCAATTACGAGGAGAATGGGAAACGAAAGATCCCAAATTGTTGGAATACCAAGATTTTATCCTTGAATTAATGAAAGAATTTGAGAGAGTCACCTTCAATTATCTCCCTCGAGAGGAAAATCAAATGGCAGATACTTTGGCTACATTAACTGCTATGTTTCAAGCAACTAAGAAAGTTGATATGATGCCTATCAAAATGCAAGTATATGAATTTTTTGCACATTGCTACAGTGTGGAAGAAGAGGCAGATGGAAAGCCATGGTATTATGATATCTTGCTATATATCAAGTATCAAAGCTACCACAAAATGCATCAGAGATTGATAAAAGAACATTAAGAAGAATGGCTGCTGGATACTTTATTGATGGCGAGACTTTGTATATAAGAAGCAATGATCAAATGCTGTTGAGATGTGTAAATACTATCCAGAATCATCATTGAGGAAGTGCACAGTGGGATATGTGGAACACATGCAAATGGTCTTTCCATGGCTAGAAAAATAATGAGATATGGGTATTATTGGGCTAATATGCATACAGATTGCATTGATTATGCAAGGAGATGTCATAAATGTCAGGTACATACAGATAAGATTCATGTACCTCCATCACTTTATATGTAATGACTGCACCTTCGCCATTTTCTATGTGGGGAATAGACGGCATTGGGGCAATCACACCAAAAGCTTCAAATGGACATTGTTTCATCCTAGTGGCAATTGACTATTTTACCAAGTGGGTTGAAGCTGCTTCATATGCCAATACCAAGAGGTATACAGTTTGTAAATTTATAAAGAAAGAAATAATCTGTCGGTATGGGCTACCAGAGAGAATCATTACAGATAATACTCTGAACTTGAACAACAAAATGATGACTGAACTTTATGCACAGTTTAAGATCAAGCATGCAAACTCAGTGGCATATCGCCCAAAGATGAATGGGGCAGTTGAAGCAGCAAATAAGAACATCAAGAGAATCATTACAAAGACTACTGAAACTTACAAAGATTGGCACGAGAAGTTACCTTTTGCTTTATATGCATATTGAACTACTGTGCGAACATCTACTGGGGCAATGCCTTTTTCTTTAGTCTATGGGATGGAAGCAGTCTTACCAATTGAAGTTGAGATCCCATCACTTCGAATCTTGAGAGAGGTAAAATTGGATGAGTTTGAATGGACCCAAGCTAGATTTGATCAATTGAACCTTATTGAGGAGAAGAGATTGAAAGCTATTTGTCATGGGCAGATGTATCAAAAACGGATGATGAAGTCTTATGACAAGAAAGTACATCCAAGAGAATTCCAAAAGGGTGATCTAGTGATGAAAAATATTTTGCCTATACATAAAGATTTTCGTGGTAAATGGATGCCTAATTGGGAAGGGTCATATGTTGTAAAAAAAGGCATTTTCTGTAGAAGCGTTGATATTGGCAGAAATGGATGGAAAAGTTCTGAGAAACCCAATAAACTCAGATTCTGTCAAGAAATATTATGCTTGAAGAAGAAAAAAAATAAGAAAAAAAGAGAGAAAAAACAAAAAACAAAAAATAAAATAGAAAATAAGGGTCAAGCTGAAAACCCGCAAAGGGCATATTGCAACCAAATGAAGGATTTGAGTTGAAAACCTAAAAAGGGAGGCTCAAATGCATGTTGATATTAGGCATCTAGCAATTAAACTCTCTTAAGAGCTTGATATTTTGGGAGGAACTTCACATCTACAAGCATTCTGGCAACGTTCAAGATCTTCCAGACATAAGTTTACCTCAGTGCTCTAAATTATATCAAGTTGATTAGTTTAGAAATACTTATGCTAATAATTTGTTGAGTCATTTGAATTTTTATCATTCCTATGTTTGCCATAACTTTGAATACATTTCTATATATTTATTAATAGATTCCAAGTTTATCTTTTCGAAATTCAATGTATTTTCGAAATTCAATTTATTCTTTTATATAAACATCTTGTAAATGGATTAACATAATTTTGAAACAAACAAAATTTCTGGCTATCACTTTATGTTAATACTTTTAAGTGCATGGAATCCAAAGTAAGTCTTATCAATATTTACAATCATTGTTGAAAAGCGAACAAGTTATTACCATCATAGAGTCATTTGAAAGCAAGTAAAACAGAAAAAGCAGAAAAGAAATTCTTAGCAAGGAACAGGGTACTTTGAGAAAATATCTCCAATCAAACAGAAAGGTATGAAGAATGAAAATGGTGAAGCAGTGACAGTCAAGATGACTATACATAATTTCTTTGTTCATCATACAGTTGAATTATTTTGGTGATTTGATGCTGGCAAGCCAAAGTGTCCCATTGATATTCCCACTGAGCTTTGTTCTTAAGTGTTCTTGTAAAGCCATACAAAAACTCCAAACACCATGAAAGAGCTTTATTAATAAGGCATCTGAGCAGAAACCACAGGAAAGGATGAATGTGTTGTCAAATGATTTACGAACATTAGGCAGAAACCACAGGAAAGGATGAATGTGTTGTCAAATACTTTACGAACATTAGGCAGAAGCCACAGGAAAGAATGAATGTGTTCTAAAAATTTTTACAAAACAATAATTATGGTGTTGAACCAATGTTGCGATCATATGGTGTTTCTATTCATTGATCCAAAATGAAATTTGTCTACTTCAAATCCAAGGTTAGAAGTGAGATATGATGAAGATTTCTTTCCACATAAGGGGAGCTGAAATTTTAACAACA